CTGTGTCCCATATAATTCTTATGTAAGTACCAATATATGGCTTTGTGTTCCATGTAATTCTTACGTAAGTATCAATATCTGGCTGCGTGTCCCATGTAATTCTTATGTAAGTATCAACATATGGCTGTATGTCCCATGTAATTCTTATGTAAGTATCAATATATGGCTGCGTGTCCCATGTAATTCTTATGTAAGTATCAACATATGGCTGTGTGTCCCATGTAATTCTTACGTAAGTATCAATATCTGGCTGCGTGTCCCATGTAATTATGTAAGTATCAACATATGGCTGTATGTCCCATGTAATTCTTATGTAAGTATCAACATATGGCTGTGTGTCCCATGTAATTCTTATGTAAGTATCAATATATATGGCTGTGTGTCCCATGCCTCCTAGTGATCTTATAAAAATGTTTTTTTATTGTTTTTGTTTTTTCATCCAACCGTAACCATACATATGGGTGAATTGGTGTTCTGGTGGGTTATTCACTGACTGACAGTACCACCTACCCTTAAAAGTTAAAAAGAGGATTCTGGTTCTGGTGGGTTATTCACTGACTGACAGTACTACCTACCCTTATAAGTAAATAAGAAGTATTCTGGTTCTTGTGAGTTATTCACTGACTGACAGTACCACCTACCCTTATTAGTTAAAAAGAGGATTCTGGTGGGCTGTTCACTGACTGACAGTACCACCTACCCTTATTAGTTAAAAAGAGGATTCTGGTTCTGGTGGGTTATTCACTGACTGACAGTACTACCTACCCTTATAAGTTAATAAAAAGGATTCTGGTTCTGGTGGGTTATTCACTGACTGACAGCACTTCTGCCTGTACAAGTTAAACACAGGATTCAAGAAAAGACTTTAATTACAGTGGTAAATATAACTAACAAAAGCATAATAACTTGATAAGTATTCTTTGGAAAAGCATAAGAAATCTATTTTAATTCCTAGTATATTGTGATTTTATGAATGGTTCAGGTTGGAAAATTATAAAAATTTCTGTTTGTCTGTTCAATAAATAAACTTTTGTTGTCATGTTAGGGACTATTTCCTTAAACGTGGAATGGGAGGTCTGATATAAATATATATATATATATATATATGCATACCTATATAGTACATTATATATTCAGTAATATTATGTATTTTCAAGTGAATCTTTTTAATATTTAAAAACAGAATTATGAAGTAATTGAGAAACTAGCCTTTGTATATGTTATTTGTTTTAGCTTTCTTGGAAAATTGACATTTGATATTCTACACCTTATACTAAGAATAAGCATTCATATTTTTAAGATGAGAGAAACAAAATCTTTCTTACCCCATTATGTTAAATTATGATTTTGCTTTATTCTGTAGTGGTGTGATCCCTGAATATATAAAACTGTTCAAATCGTCAGTCATGGCTTATGAAGTGAAGAATACAGGAAAAATGTACATGTATAAGCTAATCAAATAAAGTTGTATAAAGTGTCATTTGAGATTATTGGATGTTTTATTCAACAATTCAAAGATACAATCTTGTAATATATATATTGTTACTTGAGATTACTGATAACTACATACAGCAGTTAACTTGGCAGTATATTGTTATATATCAATGTCCAAACACTCATCTATCATGGTAGTGAAAGGCATTAACATGAGTTGCCATGTTCACCTGTCTAATGTTAATACAGAATCTTCCTGAAAATTACTAATAGAGAAGAACAAGGTCTCTCTGTACATACACTGTATCTAAGTGCTGGCTAAATACCTATTTCTCCAGAGAAACCTATGTGGTAATATTTGTGATGTTGTGTGACTATTGTTCTACCCAATTAGCCATCTGGTCCCACCAACACATCAACATATTTAGCCAACAAGTCAGTGAGTTTCTACCACTGCATTGAGTGTAGATTGTTTTCACAATCCTCATCCAATGGCCTCAGATGTGCTGGCAGCTACATACTTGCTTTTGGATGCAGCATGACAGATGCGACCCTAACATTATCACTACCCTCAGTATCTTTCACTTTGCTTAGTGTGTGATAACTAATAATCGATGATTGCAGAAAATCAACAGGACAGATAACTGTCCAAGTCAGTGCTGCTTGTTTTCTGGACAGAAAACAGCATATTTCATGTGTAGGTTCTATAACCACTTTAAATGGCACCGATAAACTAGACTTCATCTGTAGTAAAACACAATATGCTATACATGAGGGTACTGTCACTTCCTCAACCACATACAGCCCACTGTTCTTAGGTCTGGTCTACCTGGCATTGGATAACTTTCCATTGGAACACAGGTTTCACAGGGGAAAATGCTGATAGGCTTCATAGTACTTCCATTTCAAGAATGCCAATGCCAGAACTGAGGTTAGTAACAACTACTTTCAACCTGTGAGTTATGTCTTCTAGATATAGTCGAAGAGTTACCATTCCATTTCATTGTTAAGTAGGAAATTTATCTCGGGCACATATCAAGCCCCATCCAGCCCTGACAGAGCTGTGCTGATCATCAAACCTTTTAGTCCAAATCATCCATTGTCTTGCCAAGTTGGTAGCCAGAACCAACATGGGCTCTATTAGTTTCTTACAGCTGTAGCAGCATTGTTTACTGCCCTCCATTGGTTATCCTGTGCCTGTTGAACCATCAGTCAAAACCAATAGCCTTGTATATTTTGCTACTTTATAAGATATGGGCAGTTCACTCAAAAGTAACCCAATGCTCCATAGGCAAAGCAAATATATTGCAGCACATGTGTCATTGAAGGACCAGAATACCCTTGTCCATTCATTGGATATCAAAGT